CATTAACACCAACAATAATGTCAGCCTTGAAATCCAACGGAGAATCACTCTTGCCACCAAGTGCTACTTTGGGCTGAGTAGGCAATTGAGAAGTAAAGTCCTCTCTCGTCGTACAAAGATCACACTCTATAAGTCACTCATCATGCCTGTGCTGGTGTATGGCGCGGAAGCATGGACAATGAAAGCATCTGATGAGGCGGCTCTTGGAGTTTTCGAGAGAAAGATTCTACGAAAAATTTACGGACCTTTACGCGTTGGTGATGGCGAATATCGCAAACGATTTAACGATGAGCTGTATGAGCTTTACAACGATATAGACATAGTGCAGCGAATTAAAATTCAGCGGCTGGAATGGACAGAAACGCTCCTGCTCTGAAAATATTCAGCGCGGGCCGCGATGCAGGTAACAGAGAAAGAGGAAGGCCTCCTCCGCGTTGGAAAGACCAGGGCCCTATTCCACAAAACAACTTATCAACTTTTCACTTTGCACTTTGCAAATTTTTCGTCAATTTGCAAAACTTTGTGTTCCTCAGAACTGTAAAATTTGATAAGTGATAAGGTGAAGTTGATAATTGTAATTTGCAAAGTCTTTGCAATTTTTGTACTCTCTTTGCAATTTCTGTTCCACGTACGTTCTCTTATGCAAAGTGCAAAGCTAATATTGAAAAGTGTAATTTGCAAAGACTTTGCAAATAAATGCGCTCTTTCGTTCCTCAAAAACTGTAAATTCTATATTTGCAAAGCAAACTTTGATAAGTTTGTCAAACATTTGCAAGGTAAACGATCGCTTTACAAATTCATATTGTTATAACTAGTCAAGCTTTAAAAATGTTACGACGTGAGTTTTTGTTCGACAATAGTGAAGACGCGGTTATAACTAGAAATTATAGAGACCGAATTAATTTGTCGGGACTACAAAATTTTAATTTTAAAGAGTGCTTCCGTTTAAATCAAATCAAAGTTGATTTCCTTTTAAATAAAGTTGGAGACAAAATAGAGCACAATACACAGCGCAGTCATGCTTTGTCGGCTGAAAATCAACTGCTACTGTGCTTGCATTGGCTCGGAAATGGTTGCCAGTACCATGGAGTTGCAGCTATGCATGGTGTTGCAAAATCAACAGTTTGCAGAACCATCCATAGAGTTGTCGACATTATAATAGACGTTTTATTTCAAAACACAGTGCGATGGCCCGATGATGTCAGTGGTATTGCTGAAAAGTTTTTTATGATGGGTGGATTCCCTTGTGTGTGTGGTTGCGTGGATGGCACAATCATTAAAATTGATGCGCCTACATTACACGAGGAAGGATATGTGGACCGGAATGGAAACCACTCATTGAATGTGATGATGATATGCGGGCCAGACTACACATTTTACAGTGTAAATGCAAGTTGGCCGGGCAGCGTTCATGACTCAAGGGTGTTACGGAATTCGGCTGTAAGTCAAAGATTTGACAATGGATGGAGACCATTTCCGGATGCTGTTGTATTGGGTGATAGTGGTTACGGGCTAAAAAACTGGTTGATACCACCATTACGCCGAAATCCCGATAACCCTGCTGAAGAGGCTTTCAATCGTTGCCACAAAAAAACACGGCGCATAATTGAAAATAGTTTTGGCATTCTTAAAGAGAGATTCCCGTGTCTAAATTATTTGCGACTGAGGCCTGAGTTTGCAGGAAAGATAGTCATTGTTTGTGCCATCTTACACAATATTGCCAGTGGCATCGGAAGGGGTAGTGAAAACATGCAACCCTTTGAAGACACTGACAATGAAATCGAGGAATTAGATGAAAGTGCTGAAGAAGAAAATGATGCCCTTAATAATTTAGATCATGCGAGTGGAATGGAAAGGGTTACTTCTCTACTGCAATACTTCTCCTAATGCCAACCATTAAAGTGAAATAAAAGTGGTCCTTTGGCTATGATCTTCTTCCACTGCAAAAGCGTTGTTTCTTTTGGGGTTTGAGATTAACAGTAACAAGTTTTATGTAACCCAATTTTCAATATAGAAAGTAAAAATATCTAATTCACTTATTTTTTATTTTTAAATAAAAAACATAAAAAACTAACAAATACTAAATGGGAAAATAAAAATAATAATACATAAAAAACTCAAAACTCCTCAATTAACAACGAACGCGAAATATCTACCGTTGCTGCCGCTGCAATTTCGCGGGTTATGGCAGAGGGTGGAAGTTGGAGCTCCCTCTCCAATTTTAGGCATTGAAGTTTTCTGTAATAAACCTCAACCTCAAGGAGCTCCAGCCGACATTTTTTCTCTCTATCCAAAGTTTCACTTGGAAACTTGGTAGACCTCTTCCTTTTCCTTGGGTTTGGAGGGGGATTGGCAGGTGTTTCCTCTGTCATCGACACTCTGGAATCACACTCAGCTGATGGTAGATTTTCTGAGTTTCCATAACTTTCTGGCAAATTCAATCCATCTACCACAGCTGAGTCTGATTCCAGAATATCGAGAATGGCCAAGTCAGCTTCATCCATAACGCTGTCCTTCCCCCCTCCGGATCCAGTTTTTCGGGCGTTATCCCTTTTACTCTGCAAATTAACAAAATAAAAATAAAAAGAAATAAAAATATTAGCTTATTTTCAAATATAATAATCAGAACAATATATTTCATGCCAACGAGGTGTATTTAAACTTTATTAAGCTACTGTATGTACAAGGTACATACATACATACGCGAAATGAATATTTGCCTATTCAAATACTTACGGTATATTTTTACAGTACATATAGCAAATAATTATATTGTAAATATATACCCGTTCTTCTAATCAGCAAGAGTTGTTTATTGAGCGCACTGTTAACTCACAACAACAATGTCTATGATAACGATTTGTGTTGTTGTTGTCAACAAGATGCTTGTTAGTTATTAGCATTGCACAATATAAGAATTAATAGAAATTTCAACAGTAACAAATGAGGCAAATATAAATATTTGCTATGTGTAGGCAATAAATTGTTGTACTTACCAATGTCCGGCTCTTCCAGAGCCCAAACAAACTGTCCCTCGCATAGGTCCATGTTTTTTGGGCCGACGCCAGTTGCAGGGATTGGGCTTTTTTCAAAACATCCTCCCAGGCAGCCTGTTTATCTAATTTGTTAACCTTCAAAATGAAATATAAACTTAATTATGTTTGAAATTTACAATAATTTTATAAAAAAATACTTACTTTATTGTTTTGAAAATTTGCAAATAAAATGTCTTTTTTTTTCTTTTATTACATTCAAAACTGCAAGTTTTTTTCCAATTTTTATTTTGCGGCTCATTTTAAATCTTTACCTTAGTAATGCAAAGTGATTAGTGATATGACAGAAATGCAAAGTTGATTAAACGCTTTGTGGAACACTTTGCACACTCACTTTGCAAGAGAGCCCAAAGACTTTGCAGAGAGGGCCAAAATCGCTTAGGCGGTTACAGCGCCAATAAAGAAGAAGAAGAAGTAGTAATAAGAGCGAGATGAAAGATTTGACCCTATCTTATTTGAAAATTTGCCTTTAAAAATTTGTATAAAATAGCCGCAAGTCAGCAAAATAAAGCGAGAAAGCTTTTTTATTACTTCACCTGCTTATAATTTCACCATAGAAATGCATTAGCATAAATACATACATATGTATGTACGTATACTAATTTTAAGGATTCCCAGCAAAAAATCGGTAATCGCTTTTAGTGGTTACGTGTTCTAGAAGGCATAGCGTTATAATGCCTTCGAATTTTGTCGCTTCTTTTAGGCATTGCCGGTAATGCAAAGTAGAGTGTCCTACAATATTTTATTTGTTTCGCTTCTTTGCTTCATTTCGGGAATGCAAAGTAGAATGTCCTACAATATTTTATTTTCGCTTCTTTGCTTCATTTCAGGGAATGCAAAGTAGAATGTCCTACAATATTTTTTTATACCCGAGCGCACTGGCTCACAACTGGTTCCCAAATAAACGAAGTCGTCTACTTTTTCAAACTTGTAACTGTCAACAGTGACGTGGGTGCCAAGACGCGTATGCTCTGACTGTTTGTGTGCTGACAGGAGATACTTCGTTTTGTCCTCGTTCACCACCAGACCCATTCGCTTTGCTTCTCTATCCAATCCCGAGAAGGCAGAACAGACGTAGCCCTTGTTTTTACCGATAATATCGATGTCGTCGGCATACGCCAGCAATTGTACGCTCTTGTAAAGTATTTTGCCTGAGCGGTTCAGTTCTGCGGCTCTTATTATCTTCTCCAACATCAGATTAAAGAAATCACACCAAAGGGAGTCCCCTTGTCTGAAACCTCGTTTGGTATCAAATCCCTCCCTATTCTGACGGAGCTGGTGGTATTGCTCAACGTCATTTTACACAGCCGTATTAGTTTCGCGGGGATACAAAATTCAGACATCGCGGCATAAAGGCAACTTCTCTTCGTGCTGTCGAAAGCGGCTTTGAAATCGACAAATAGATGGTGTGTGTCGATCCATTTCACCATGATGAGGTTCAATTGATGCTAATTTGTAGCAAACATAGCACGCGCACCTCATAGGGTTAATTTGTTTGTTTACAGTTTTTTGACATTATAACTAGCTACAAGAGAGTTCGAGCTAGTTGTCACTTCTACCTGGTTAAATATGCCTTGTATGAAATAATAAGCAAATTTAAAATTCAAATGGGAAATTATCCTACAAAAAATAAATTTTAAAGGCTCCATTATTGTGAATAATGTTTAAGCAGTAGTCATAATACTAATAAATGCCCATATTTGAAAAGAAAATATAAATAAGTTGTGAAAATATTAAACTGGAAGAATTAGTCATTGAATTTTCAAAAATGTCGGTTAATAATTCATCTGCAGAGGATATAGCTAGATTAATAGCTACACAGACAACAAATTTAAGGACTGAGATAGCACAGTTGACAAACCAAATTAGGAATTTGACCAATGCTACACAAGTGACTGAATACCACACTCAGACTATTAACGACGCAATAACATGTTCCGAAAGTTTAGATATTATCAAATCCTTGCCGGAATTCTCTGGTAAATCGTATGTGAGTTGGAAGAAAGCTGCAAACAATTCGATGAGTTTATATATAGAAGGAAGTAGGAAGTATTTCGGGTAATGCAAATTATATTCTTACCAATCACGGCACTGTTTTAAACTTATAGGCCATATTCGCTAGATTCGATTTTGCCTACGCCGATAGACGACCAGTTCATGTAATTGATAAGGAATTGAGCATATTAAGACAAGGATCGAAATCCTATAACGAGGTTAATCAGAAATTAACTTTACTGATTAACAAAACTATAATGACACTCGGCACGAACTCGGAAGTAACAAAGCAATTGAATGTTAAGAATCGCGAAACTGATTTGAGAACTTTCATAACGGGTTTAAACCCCCCATTAAATCAAATTCTATTTACATTATCTCCTACCGATTTGCCAAACGCTCTTGCAAAGGTACAGGAGCTGCACTCAAATCAATTGCGTTCGGAATTCGCATTAAATTTTTCAAGGACATACGCAACGAAAAACAAAGGTTTCCATAATAATTTGCGAGGTCATAGGAATAATCACCAAAAGACAGGAAATCATTTCCAAAATAATTTAAGATATACTCAAGCGGGAAATAATCCCAACAGAAACTTCCCGCAACCAGAACCAATGGATACGTCCTCCAATAATGTGCCATATTCACAACAAAAGCCACTTGTTTATAACCAAGCACCTCAACCAAGAGGTTTCCCAAATCAGCAACAAAATGCTGATACACAAAAATGGCAGTTTAGCCAACCGATAAATGGCGGGAAACGGAAAATTATATTACTAGACTCAGTAGCCGACATTCAGTAGCCAGTAGCCATACGTAATGCGAATTTTAGTATACGGTTGCCCATCGGCTATCAGTCGCCATACACAATAGGGCCATAAATATACAAATCTTCTTTTGCACACCAAGACATAGTACTACAAATGGGCAAAGAGAGCGATTTAATTCCACAATAATTGACATTATCTGATAAGTGACGTAGAATCAATAACTAGAGTAGTACAACAATACAATAGATCAATACATTCAGTAACAGGGAAGCAACCGAATAATATTGTATTTAATAAGGAAAAATACCCTCGCTAGGGCAGGCACCTTGTCGTTGGTGCGGGGGCTAAGCTGAATTACCGATCAGCCCATCTCTGGTCTGGGGTATCGTGGACGCGCTCGTCGCTTCTGCGCTACCGGCAAACGGTGACCAAGAACTGCCACCTCCTAATCCAGGGTGTTACGCGACACCGTGCCTGCTTGGAGGGAATAAACCGGCTGTAGTATAATGGCTCTTCGACACCGGGCCGCATCGAGGAGTAACAGTGGCCTTACCGCGACATGGGGCGCTGGCGCGGCGGACCAGATGAGATCCCCTTTTTTTGCTTTGACTGCTGAGCTTGCCTAGTCGAGCAGGCAGTCGTACGAACAAGATGAATACAACTAAACAACAAAAAACACAAAAGCCAAAACCAACGCAGAATGAAACGCGAAAAACAGCTACAGCTACAACAGCAGCAACAGCTACAACATCAGCAACAGCTACTACAACAGGTATAGTAATAGCCACAACTACAGCTACAACAGCAGCAGCAGCCACGAAGACAGTAATGCCAATGGCACCAAAGGTACCAACGGCCAAGCTCGGCAGCACTATGCTGGGCGAAAGTAAAGGCACCAGGCGCAGTGGGAAGCTTCCTTGAGAGCCTAACCGAGGAGGAGGCTGCCCTTTTCATCGAACACGCCAGAGAAGATGAGAGGCCAAACAGTAGCAGTGGCGGCGTGGTTCGGGCGCAGCTTCATTCAGAAGGCACCAAGAGAGCAGAGGCTCTGGTCCCGAAAAATAGGCACCGATCTCCAAGCAGGAACCGAGATGCCTGTCGGCGTCGCTCCAGTAGTCGTGACCGCTTCGGGAGCCATGACCGCTCTGGGAGCCGAGGCCGATCCAAGGGTCGGCATCGCTCGAAGAGCAGACATCGCTCCGGCAGCGGGCACCGCTCTAGCAGTAGACAGCGGGCACCGCTCTAGCGGTAGGCACCGCAGGTCTCCTAGTCGGACCTTTTCGCTCGAGTCAGGGTGGCAGCTGCAACACAGCAAGAGGAAAAGCCGCAGGTGTAGACCGCCTCCACTTCCGCCCTCCGGTCAACCGGGAGCCCTTGACGACCACCATCGTGCTGGTCTTGGTGGGTCGGGAGTTAAGTGGTATCTCCGGTGCCTGGGGCAGGGGAAGAAGCCGATCGTAGCCCGCGCAATGGCGGAAGTAAGGCAAGAGGTGGAGAAGGAGGCACAAGAGAATGGTAAGGCGACTGCAATCGCTGGTATGCAGCAGAGAGGTGAACTACCCGCGCCTGCTGAAAAGCAGAGAAGCGGGCACCAGCATCAGAGACCCGCGCCTGCTGAAAAGCAGAGAAGCGGGCAACAGCAGCAGAGACCCGCGCCTGCCAAATGGCGGAGAAGCGGGGAACCCACAGGTACCATAACAGGCTCATCAACAGCTACACCAAAACGTACCAGCTCCCAACACCTGAGCCACCGTCCCCCAAACGACCGCGGGGGCTCCTACCCCCTCCAACAGAGTATAGGGGCTTGGATAGGTCCGCGGTCCAGGATCAGCGACAGGAGGGAATCACTAAGCAGCCTAGCTATTCGGATGCTCTTAAAGGACCTAACCAAACTCCAGGACGCCATCATGGATGAGGTCCTTAAAGGGTGGAAGCACGCACTTGTCTTTTGTGGGGTATTTTACACGTCAGGCATGCTCCTTGTGGACTGCAAGGATGAGCGGACCGCAGCATGGCTGGTAGATAAAGCACCTAACATTGAGGGGTGGGAGGGGCCCGCGTTATGTTCCAAGAGGGGGAGGACATCCCGCCGATGTATAATATCTCGG